AGCTGCTCCATCCAGAACCAGCTGCTCCATCCAGAACCAGCTGCTCCATCCAGAACCAGCTGCTCCGTCCAGAACCTGCTGCTCCAAGGAGGATGAGGAGGACCAGTCTGCTTCTTTTCACACCAAAGATTTTAATCATTTTCACCATAAAATCAGCCCAAACCATGACACAGCCTCCACCGTGCTTTAACAACTGATCCAGATCAGCAGGTCTGGAGAACTGTTGATCCGGATCCAGATTGTTGTTGTTTTTCTGACTTCCTGCTGCTCGTGTCATTTCCTGTGGAGGATGTCCGCCCCGTCCAGCCATCCTCAGTCCTGCAGGACAACTAACACAGAGCAGGAACCAGAACCAGAACCAGAACCAGAACCAGGATGATGAGGAGCAGAAGAAGCAGAGTTTAGGAGGACACTTTGCTTTCTAACAGGAGACACAAAGAGGACCGGTATGGACAGAACCACTGGAACCCAACAAGCAGCCAGAGACAGTAGGTCCAGAAACAGAGTTCTTTAAAACTTCTGCCTTTTCTGCTGAGATCTTCTGGACTGGTTCTGATGAGGAACAGACAGAACCGGTCCTGGTCGGACTCCGCAGGTCCCCAGGTGTCAGAATGCTGAGTCATCATTTGCTCTGCAGACTTAGTTTTGTTTTAGCTGTTTATAAATCAGAACCTTTGGCTCGTTCGGCTGCTGTGACTTCATGTTTTTAAAAGATCCAACCTGTTCAGATCTCTGCTTCAGCTGCTGCTTCTGATCGGATATTCTCAAGCCTCTGTTAGCTTTCACCTAATCTTCGGTCCTTTGGCCTTTTTACACTCTTAGCTAGACTTTTTGAGTTTGTTTTTTTTTACTTCGGCTAAATTTTATTCTTAATGCTTGTCTCTACTATTTCTACTATTATGTCTTTACTCTACTAAAATACGTTTAGCTTTTAGCTGCTGTTCTACCTTTTAACTTTTAGCTGAGTTTGTTCAGTTGTGTAATTTTTCAGTTTCATTAAGGCCAGATATTTAGCTACAGCTAACAGGAGTGTTTTTATCGGTCAGCACTCTCAGCTACTACCACACCAAGTCTTTAACACCAGCAGTTTGATTATCCTGCTGATTAACTGTGGCGGCCATCTTGAATGTTCACTCTAAAAGTGAATGAGTCATAGATGGTTCATGAGATATTTTGCTAACAGACAGACACACAGATGGCCTGCCTCATAAATGATGTAAATATAAAACACGACAGAAATGTTAAAAATGAACGTTGAGTTTAATCTAATATTTATTATTCTGTTTAAAGGAGCTATAAACAGAATAAACAGAACTTTTAAATAGTTTTGTTTTTAAAGCAGCTTCTGTCGGTTCTTCATGTGTACTTTCACTACCAGCAGGTGGCAGTAGCTCCTTCACCCTGTCCCCAGGTAATACTGGTACTGAACCAGAACCAGAACCAGACACACAAACACAGATCGTGTTTTTCAGCTGATTTTAAGTCAAATTTGTTTTTATGCCATTCAGTTCAATAACAAACAAACAAACAAACAGGACTTGMCTGTGATTGGTGCAGAGTATTTGTTGGTCTCAGGTGAGTCTCGTTGTCGTGGATCAGGTTAGCTTAGAGCCGGCCCCCCCGGTTCCATACTTTTAACCCTCAGATCCAATCAGGACAGGCGGACAGACGTCGCCACAGTAACAAGAAACCATCTCACATGTAGGTGAATATGAAGAGCACACTCCTCATCCATGTAAACACTGGTTTACAGGCTGAAAACAAGCTGGCTGTAGTTCCACTCTCAGAGGAGTAAGACYCTTTCTTCCCTCTCTCCTGTCCTTTATCTTCACTGCTTTGCTGCTTGGAGCCTTCTCTACGTTTTCATCTGAAACCAGAAATTATGGATATTTTTATTTTTATGGATTTGGTTAGCTGGTCTCTTAATACATTTTTGGAACAAAGTTTTCTTCCATAGGAGGACATGTCGAAGGTGGGACCTCTGTTCTTCTCTGTTCTGGATATCTGGGTTCTGATCACTGGATTCTACAGATTGGCTTGGTGGTCTCCTGGTGGTCTACAAAACAGKYTCAGTGGCTTTTCATTTCCTGGCTGCCTGACCGATATGAAGGATTGCTGTTCTATCAGCACTCAGACTTTAGCCTTGAGCAAGCTGGACTCAGTCTGCAAGTGGTTCTGCTGAGGGTCGCGGGCCGGCTGTGGTTCCTGGACTTTGGTGACCAGATGGAATTCATCATCATCATCATCATCATCATCATCATCATCATCATCATCAT